ACACTAACATCTAATTCAGTATCCTTGTGATATAGATCGCGATAAAATTTAACAATCTCATTCTGAATTTCCCCATGCTCATGGACAAGAAGACCGTCGCATTTTCTTATTGATTTAATCATTTTAGCTTTAGCTCTTATTTTTCCAAATTCAAAAAATATTTTGAGGATTTCTCTCCCTCCTCTGTCCATTTAATCCTAGACCGAATTATTGACCCTCTTGTTTTTTGTTTTATATGCTGTTTTAATTCAGTTTCAGCATCTTGTAATTTGATTTTAGTTTCCTCATCCTCCGCATATCTTTCCATTTCTTGGAAGCATTCCTTATATTGATTTAGTAATAAAGTTGTTTTTTTGTTTCCCTCGTCTTTTTTCAATTTAGAACAATGAATGGCCCAATTTTTGATTTTCTTTTTACAATTATCCCAGAAAGAACCTCTTTCTGTTTCATCAATGTTTTTTATATCAAAATGCCATTTTTTTAATATTGCTTTTATTCCTAGGCAAAAATACTCATAATCATTCAACTGAGAATTGTATTTCCAATACCCGGGTCCATGTTTTAAACAATTCATTGAAGCAATTTTTAGATATACCGGATGATGATCCGACATGACAGCTTCCGTAATCTCAATTTTACTAACATTCGCAATTTGGCATTTCGAAATGTACCATCTATCTAATCGACTCTTTGAAACAACGTTTTGTATATTATTGCTTTTTTGCCACCATGTGTATTGCTTTTTAGTTTTATTACTGTTTCTCCAAATATCTACCAAATCAAAGGTTGTAATAAACTCATAAAGTTTTTTAATGCTATTATCTACTTTGTATCTTATACTAGGGTATTTATCTTCTTTGTTTAAAACGCAGTTGAAGTCACCTCCAACATAAATTTGGTATTGGGAATTGGGATTTTGGGTTATACAGCTTTCTATTTTATTTTGCAAGGCCAAAAATAATTCACTTCTTTCCCTACATCTATTTGGGGCATATATATTTAGCAAGGTAAAATGTTCATCGAAAGATTTCCACCTAACCAATATATATCTCCCAAATTCATCTAATTGTACGTCATCAAAAGTTGCTTCTATTTTATTTGATAGCAGTATCCCTACCCCACTAGAAAAATTAGAAAAAGTTGTCCATATTGCATTACCTCCCCATTCTTTTGTCCATTTTTTTGCATCGTCTTCACTTCCGCAATGTGTTTCTTGAATGAATGTTATGTTTGATCCAATATTCCTAATGTAATCAAAAATTGATTTGCGTTTCTCGAAATTCCTCACTCCATTTACATTATAAGTTAAAAGAGTAGTATAGCTGGTTAAATTCATAATGGGTCTCCACTAAACAATCCATCCCTACCCCAAATTTGGCATCGTTCCAGAATGAAAATTCTAAACAAAAAGAAAATTTTTCAAAAGTACAAACTATTCTGATTGTTCCATAATACTGTTGTACCACTCTTTTGGTTCGTCTATTTCGTTATTGTCCTATATAATTAGAATGGGCTGTGTGATATCATGAGGTTCTTCTTGATTTATTTGTTCAGGTTGTGGGGATTTATCATTTTGTTGTTCTTCTTTCTTCTGCTTGGTTGTTTGGGTGGGGATTTTCTCATGATGTCTCTTGAGATTTACTTCTGTTCTTGTATCACATATAATGATTACACTATTGATCTGTTGAACTGTTATGGCGATACCCTCCCCCTTCAGATGAATCAAGTCACTTTCAAAATAATTGTCAATAATTCTATCTTCTGATATACATTCAGGTGGAGTTATGTATATCACATTTGCAGCCTTTGATTGTTCTTTTGTAACGTTATTTATTCTATCACTTCCATCTCTTGCTTTGTTAAATCCATTCTTCGGCACTATACCACATAAATAGACATTTTTTGAGATTTCTTTCGCTCTTTTGATCACACATCTCACATGTTTTTCCAGATCATCATAGGGTCCTTTATAAACATCGTTTGTACCGGCGTAAATCACCAAATCATTATACTTTTCCTCATGGTTTTTGAGAAATTTTTCCAAATTTGAAAACCTACCACCCTCCACATTAATAGTTTTCACTTTATTGGTATTCACTTTCGATTTCATTCTTTTTACTTGTGAGTCTCCAATGAATAATATTTCTTTTTTCTGTTCCAGGGTGTTTTGCTTTGATGTTTTCGAAATTACTAATTTTTGCCTTCTGTATTCTTCCTCAATCTCTTTTAGTACTTCACTATTCTTTTCTCTCATGTCTTTCTTTTTTCTCAAGCTTTTCTCAAGTTATTAGTCTTTTGTCCTCGTCGAAGCATTTCCAAACATGAACACTTCACTATATACTGACACCTAACGATGAATGAACTAGAATTTGGTGAACGCATGGTGTCAGTATTGATCAACAATTGAGGTGGTGGAGGGAGTCAAGTAAAGAATAAATATTTTATTCGAAGTGTAGAGATTCATGTTATGAACCAGTTATTTGGCAGTTGAATCTTAAAAACAAGTTTATGAATATTTTTCAGTTTAAAGCGTACTGGATCTCCAAATTGAGAAAATAACAAAACGAACGAAACTTTGCCTGAACTTGTAGTTGTTATAGTCACGTGATCGCAACTCCGTGTCGAAGTGTCTGGTCTGTCTTCAGTCTGTTAGTCGCTGCTTTGTGTTTTTGTTGTTGTGTCCCTGCGAGTTCGATATCCAGATATTTGAGGTGTTGTCATCGGTCTGTTCGAAAAACGGTGTCACAGTACTGCAGTACCGGTACTGCACTATGTACGACACCCAGTTATAAAGTTAAAGTCCGGCCTTATTTTTTTGTATTTCCTGTAACTGTGTTGCTCGGGTCCGGTACCGCACGTCAGTGTGTCAGTACGGACGCAGTACCGGTACGGTACCGCTACGGTCCGGTTCTGGACCAGAACTTCTGGTACGGTACCGGTACTGATGTGATTGGGTTAGGTTTTGCAGTTTTAAACTGTACCTGTGTACAGTACAGCAGTAAGTTTCCGTACCGGTACCGGGTACCATATAAGTTTATTTTGACTCCATAATCGACAATAAAATGATTGATAAAAGAAATACAATCAGGCTGTCAGGAGAGCAAATAAAACTTTTAAGCTGTTGAGTAAGATCTATGGGTCTCATGAAGTTTCGTATCTAAAGTACTTCTGGTCTGGGCGTAGCATGACGATTTTTGGGGTCTCATGTAGTTCCGTAGTTCATGTAGTTAACATACTTCTAGTTAGCTAGTGGGCGTAGCGTCACAATTTTTCGACATATCAATCCTAACCCCCACCTGACTATGCCATTCAAAAATTATGTCACTACGACATCACAATCACGTCATAGAGCTTGCCGAATATACATAAGATCACCCGAAATGGCATCGGCGCCGACGATAAAAAACTTACTAACGTCAGCGATATCTTTCATATTGGGATCGTCGCGACGAAAAAACAAGAGAAATATCCATTCGATTTTGGGTGCGCAGACGAGCGCATCTTGGATGACACGACCTTAGGCTCTTTGCGGCCACGACCTATTTGCGGCCATCAACTTCGTCGATTAAATTAATGTCGAAAAAATGAACGAACCGCGGCGATATTTCTCACGCGTTATCGTCCACTTATCCCTCGTAGCTCTGCGAAATTACACTAAAATGTGGCCACAAACGAATATGTTACGGTCGAAAACCCGACCGAGGAAAAAACGGACCATTTTTTCATATCGCCAACAACTATTGTCTCTTTAAAAAAGCTTGAACATCCATACAAATATAAGAGATGAAAATATGAAACTTGGCAGGTGGGTAGAGTTGTGTTTCTTTTAACCATCTTTGAAATTTCGCGTTCCTACATTTAAAGGAGGGGGAATAGGGTGGTGCGCATTTCCAATACGTCGATAATATCTTTGTCGACGAATTTGCGACCACCGTGTTTTTGTCTGTTAGATTGCTGTGATGCAGTGCTTTGTTTATAATTTGACAAGTTTTGTTCGATATAACCGTGTTCTTAAAATATATGACGGTCGGAAATGCAATTAGAAGCCCAATTTTTTCACGCATGGCTGCTCTAGTCTCGACGCAGCAGATATGATGTTTAAGGCTTGAAATCCTTGGTCGCACACTGGTCGATCGGTCGCAAATATGTCTTCCGAGTGTTGTCCTTTGGTGGTTTGTATAGCTTTAACCCCTGGTCATAGAAAGTTAATTCGATGTTCAGCGTGTAGAATAATTGCCAATGCACCTACGGTGAAAAAATTAACGGGTTAGAAATATTGGTTTTTGTTTTATAGCAGTTTGAATGAAATCGACCGCAGACTGGCTACACCACCCTAACCCCCACAGTGTGCCCTACTGTTTCGTATCTATATTAACATGACAAGGTCTACTACATACATCTAATACATAACTTCCGAAACGCCAAATGCAACGCTAGTCGTCAGATACAGTGCATTCCATCTATTTCTGTATTTGCTGTGGTCTAATGCTAAAACAAGCATGGATTCGCTCAATATCTTATTAAAACTGTAACATTCAAAAACATGAACTTATGCGAAAGTTATTCATTTTTTGGGTCTAGTGTAGTTTCGTACATTAACCTACTTCTAGTGGCAGAGTGGACGGAGCCCACAATTTTTGCATATGTTAATCTTAACCCCCACCTGACTGCGTCATCCAAATATTATGTCACTGTGATGTAATAGGGCCCTTCAAACTACTGTCATTCAAGACGCACCGACGATTACTCGAAATTGAGCAAGCTAATAAAGTAATACTCTCGCTTTCTTATCGCAATGATCTCAATATGAGAGAGATCAGCCGATTGATGGCGCCAGTCGGTTCTTCATCATCGGCGCAGATGCCATTTCGAGTGATCATAGGTATACATTGGCAATCTCTATGACGTGGGGCTTAGGATCGACATGTGAAAAAATTGTTATGCTATGCCCACTAGAAGTATGTTAGGTATGAAACTACACGAGACCCCATTTTTTTACATTTTGTGTAGATTAGTATCTCTTTTTATATTAGCTTTCAATACTAGAAACAAAGTTATGTGAGGTTTCGATCACTCTATAAGATGATGGAAAAGAAATTTAATTTGTGAATCAAATAGAAAAGCCGCTAATATTTTGGATTTACACATTGGATTATTGACTACTTTACTTCAGAAGGATATAAGATCACAGCTTTTGATCTGAGATTGATAAGTGAAGAAAATGGTTGTACAACATCTGGAAAGCAGGTAAAAATAAATTTAACTATCGGTAGAGGTTGCGTAAGACTTAACTCTCAATCCTTCCTCAATGGTTTTGCACTGGTTGATCTGTATGCGTTTTATGCAAGGATGCTGTAGCAGGAATAAAAATACTATACTATGCAATTCAAGAATACTGTTGCACACTAACACAAATTTATTTCTGTAACATTTCGTCTGACCAAAATCAGACTTCCTCATACAAGCAGTTTACAACAATCACAAGAAAAAATTTGTTAGTGTGTAGCAGGACTCTTAAATTGCATAGAAAAATAAATTTGGTTGTCATCTCGCTTTAAATGACATTGGCCGTTTTTTAATTCTCTTTCAATGTTGCTTGATTATTATTGTTGGTTTTAATGAATTGTAAAATATAGTTAGAAAATTGGAGATCACTGTTGTCAATTATTCTTGAACGTGGAAATTAATAAAATATGATTTTGTTGATGATTTTTCGTTACTAAATGTGTCAATCGCTATAACTGATAAAAACCTGTTAAAATCAAAACTAGGTATATTATTCTACAGAAGACAAGGGGCCACAAGTGAAAGGATGTCACAGATAATGAAAGTTCGAGAGCTACCGTCCAAAGCATTTATCTCATGAATAATATAAGTTTCTTTTATTTTTATTATAGTTACGGTACTAATAATAATATCTGTTTCTATTTTTTCAGACTTGCATTGACATCGCTCAATACTAATGAACAGCTTCATGAGTTTCAGATTGTTCATGCTTTGATTACACAATGCAGAAAACAAGCATCTGCTGAAGTTGGTAAGTTGTCAGTCAGTTTATCTTTTATAAGTTGTTAACCCAGGTTGAAGATTTGGGATTTTAAAGTCTCCATCACCTCAACCACAGGAATGTAATAAATTGGGGGTACCCGGTGCTGAAAGCAAAAGATTTCGGTTCATTTAAAAATAATCAGTTGGGGCTTGTTGGGATTGTTGTTATGAGTGGGAAATTGCCCCACGAAAATCATATACGCAAAAGGATAATGTGACATAATCTTCAATAAATATTTCATTAATTACCGTATCTCTCTAACTATGCCTTTGCTATGTGAATTAACATCTTTGAAATTTTGGTGTTCGCCCATTGACATAAAATTTTGATTAATTAAAGTAGCAAAAACGTTAGACAGTAAACAATATTAGCAACAATGCAATGCTCAAATATCGGACACAAAGACCAAAGCGAAGCAGTACGATACCGGTACCGTCGAAAAACTTCCGACTTTTGCGTAGCCTCAAGAAAGGTCAAAGAACTGCTATAAATAATTTCTATTAATTTTCAAGAGATCATCACACAAAGTTTCGAAGTGAAAAAGGAATTAGAGCTCACAGAAAGTTTTAAAATTACTATTTTATTGAGGGATGGGTTGGGAGTCCACTCATGGCTTGTTTTAAATCAAAACGAAATCTACAGAAAAATGATTCACTCATGGCTTGTTTTAAATCAAAACGAAATCTACAGAAAAATGATTTTTTGAAAGTTTGACCAAATTTGGTTCACCATATTCAGCGGGACTCTTGGATCACTCAAAATAATATAATTATTTTATAATTATTATATAATTGAATTCCGTTTGAATTTAATTTTTGTAACTTTTTTTCAGAAAATATTACGAAATTATTATAATTCAAATATCCTCTATAGGTTTGTTATTTTTCTTATTTCATTGAATTCCTCTTAATTAAAGCAAATACGGTTCTTCTTTCCTGTTACTAGAATCTAATATTGTAAAATAACATAGCCATTGAATGCATGAATAAATATTTGACAGGAAAATCAATAATTGTTATGGAACTTGTTTGTTTTGCCTGTTTAACTTTATCAAATATCCTTTTTTGTCTCTGCGAATTACATTGCCGTAATTTGGTCCAGGTTTTCAATATTTTTATGCTTCATCAATTTTAAATTGATTTTATTTTGGTCTTGACTGTTTCTAATTGGTATCAATATCTCTGTTCAACATATTAATAGAGATCAATTTGTTTTGTTTGAAATATTTGACATGGGCATGTAACTTTTTATTTTTGGCAATTTACCGTACAATTAGTGAAATCAGAATTTCTCATAGAGGAGAAATCCATAATTTCCAGTTATTTAGATATAAATTCCACCATTTTTAGTTATTTTTGTCACTTTTGTTTTCTCAAAATTTTGTTTAGTTATCTGTATTGAACATCAATTTTAATTGCTCAAATTCAAAACTTCAATAGGTTTAATAGTTTTTTTATTCACAATTATTGGATATAAAACATATTTCATCTCTGAAGGCACTTATAAAGTAGTGGCAACGTTATGTTTAAAATATCAATTGTTAGTTGTTACATAGTTTTTTTTATCGGCAATTTTGATATAAAACATAATTTTCATCTCTGAAGATGCCAACTAATTAGCAAATAGAACACTCCTATAGACTTCTACACTTTTCTTAGGTATATGTTATTTGTTTTCCACACCCATATCTTATTTGTCAGAAAGAAATGGGTTATGGACATAGGTTGGTGAATAAAACAGAATTCCAGTTTATGATAAATTATAAATTTTCTCTCGTACTATTGGTTTGTAAATATTGTTATCATCAAAAAGTTGCTGGGAATTTTATACTCTATTTATGCTATTTGTAGGTGTGTCTTGACGTCATTTTATGGCCGCAGGTTCATTAAACGCCTTATTAAGTACTTCTAGTTGGTGTGGCACAAACATTTTTGGATATGTTATTCCTAACCCCAACCTGACTATGCCATCCAAAAATTATGTCACAATCACGTCATAGAGCTTGCCAAATAAAAGCTACGATCACCCGAAATGGCATCTCAGCCAACGATATCGAACTCTAACGCCAGCGACCTCTCTAATATCGGGAACGTTGTGATGAGAAAAAATGAGAAATAGCTTGCTTGATTTTGGGTGATCGTCTGCGCATTTTAGACGACAGTCCGTATACTTTGACGGGCCTTATTTCGTCACTGTGACGTTGTGGTCAAGTAATTTTTGGATGACGTAATCAGGTGGAGGTTAGAAATGACATACGGTATGTGAAAATGGTTATGCCACGCCAACCAGAAGTACTTTACGGCGTTCAGTGAACTAGCCTTATTTTCTGTTGGCTAATATCTTTACACAGCAGTGTCTAAAAAATTGCTTAGAATTATATCAAAGGAATATGCGTTTAAGAAAGAATTTTTTTATTATATTCGACATTATTTTGCAATTATTCTATTATTCTATTCTATTTTGGTGTCGGTGTGCAGCTATAGTTATTCTTGAAGTGAGGCACAAAACAAATTCAAAAATAAGGGGGACGAGGCTTAATAATGTAATGCTTTTGATATGCAGTAGTAACTGGTGAGGCATACCAATATATATATAAGAAGTTGAAAACAAGCATTTTCTTTAGTCTTTTGAATCCTGATTTATATATTGTTGTGGATTGTGGGGTAAATTTTTTATTTTCATATTTTTAGAAAATCTTCACAATAATAACAACAACCATAATGGTTTTGAACACCAGCAAACGAATAGCGCGAGTTTAGGAAAACGAAAGTTGAATTCATCAAAAGAAGAACGTTCGTCCTTCGTTCGATCGATAAGTAGAACTTTCAATGCTCTTGCACAAGCAACGAATTCATCACTTTGTGCGAAACAGAATTTAACGTCTCATCCTGTCAACATAGCATCTACGGTTAAGAATATCATTTCACAGTTCAGGTGAGGTTTTCTGTGACTTATATTTATTTATGTAAAGTGTTAACATTTTTTTAAATTACATGATATCTTGTGAAGTTACTGATGCTTGTGAATGTTTCACCTAGCATTGACTACCTTGTTTATTTCTGTAACACTAGCCAATCAGCAATAACATAACAGTGATGCAACAATTGAAATTTCAGAGGTCACTCAGATACTTTTTTTTTTTTCAAGCAAGATTGTAAACAACTCATTTATCGTGTCTTGAATGCCATTTGACGGTTTTTAGTAATGTTTCATAAAAATGTATATAAATCTACTAAATCAGCGGTAATTTGTCTTAGGGAGAATTTTTTGTTAGTTGCAAAAAACTGAAAAAGCTAATATATATTCTTTCCAATATTGTTCTAAAAATCTTAATGCTCTTCAGTTTTTTATACTCAAATAGTTAAAAAAAAAACTTTATTATCAAAAATGTTATTTTGAATTTTTTTCATGTTCTCTTTTGTATGCTCTGGATATACCGGTAATTAATTTCGAGTACCTAATTGGCCATTTTATAAAGCAACCTCGAATCTGATAGAAGCTATAAACAAGACCTAATTTCAATTCAAATTCAGTAAAGCTGAACCGTAATTTAGCACAACCAGGAACTGATCAATGCGTCATTGTCTTTGTTATGTTCTTGTTGCCAGAGGCTTCGGTTGCCAAAGGCATGTTAATGGAGAAATAATCATTTGTATAATTTTGCATGAACTTGAAAAAATATTTTGTAATTTCATAGGAGATCACTGTTTTGGCTGATTTTTCGGTACTCCTGTAGTGTGTGTACCAGGTTAGATTAGGCCATAATTTTTTTTCGATTTTCCTTCTTTTAGTTCTATTATGAGTTCTGGAACTGTCTGTGTTATCCAAGTGAATATACCCCTACCCATAGGTTCCAGTCCCTTTACACAACTTGATGTAAAGTAGGCGAATAAAATTAGTTACCTCCATATTGGTACACCAACTTCTGGAGCGCCGTTTAAGGCTTTTTACAGTTTTATTAGTACTATATATATTTTGGTCAGCTTTGAAAATGCCAAATTTGTCATTTAAGATAAAAAAAATTTGAAAATAAAAGAGAATCTGAATCATTCATATCAGGTAATATAATATTCTGTGATTTATTCAATTATCTAATTCCCTACCCCTCATATTCAAATTAATTCAAAAATAATTATATTTTGAAATTCTGATTGTAGGAGTTATTTAGAATAGTTTCATTTCAAATATCACAGTGTGCAATAAAAATCTCATAATATGATCAAAAAGAACTGTGAACTGTAAAAGATATAAAACAAACCAAACCTCCGTGTATCTTAACTTTTTTGTGCATCTCCAAAATCAAATACATTTAACACTGACATGGACAAACTACGGCCACGGGACAAATCCGGCTCACTGGGTAACTTAATTTGGTCGCCTGATGCTGCCACAACCAAACTAAAACCAAATTTAGATGTTTTAGTTGAAAATAGATGAGGGAATTTGTTGAGATTGCGATTAAATTTAGTTTAGGTGCTTATTGTTTTTCAATTACGCTTTTGCAACACTGTAAATATTGTTCATAAAATGTAACTTTTTATGTCACGCTCACATGGCCCGCCAATCTAAATCTAGGTGGATAAAATTTTTGGCCCCCTGGTCCGAAAACTTTGCCCACCCCTGATTTAACGTATTATATCGACTCCTATGTGTTTTTTATTAAACAGGACTTAATTTAAAACATATTTAATAATACTATTCATATTTGAATTTATTATATAGAATATGTATTCTGCATATTTTTAAACTATCCACGTCTTTCTTTTCGAACAAGGTATTGGACACCTCTCCCCCCATCATGACATTGCCCAGGTGAAGGACAACTTTATTTACCCAAACTGTAAACATTGCTTTGTGCACCTGCAACCTTTTATATTTATGAGTCTGTCATTTGTAAAACACCTCGGATATATAAGTTATGACTTTTATTGCTCTTAAGTGTCATTTCCTGTCTGTTGTAAGTTTTTGTTTCTGTCATGAGATGATTTATTTTGCGTCTGAAATTCGAAGTGAAGCCTAGTGATTTGATTCTACCTACTGACTTTGGTATTTTATCGACTGATTTCTAAAATATATCCAGAATTTATTAAAACATAGTGAGTTTTCTCAAAAGTTACTATAGTTTTGTATATGTTTCCAAATATTAAATATACCTACCTAAATTAAAATATATAAAAATAAATATTGAACATATATATTAGGATTGCCATTGTCAATTACAAAAGTTTCTTATTTGAACATTGAATGTATTTTATTTCTGTGACCTATAAAACAATCCATAAGATATAATGTTGTCATTTTGAATGGAATTCAAAGTAATGTTCCTGTATACCAAAACAGTTTGAAAAATCTACAGCCTTTTTTGTAAACTTTATTATTTTTTACATTAACAACATAATTTTTATTTAAATTTCATACAGAGAATGTTTTTATGTATATGACGATTTTAAGAAAAATGAAGGAAATTGGAAAGTGCTAAGATATATAAGTCCAGTGGGTCTCAAACATGATCCGAATCCCCCCTGGCCTCTTCCAAAATCTCTTCACACTTGTGGCATTCTGCTTTTTTATAAATATACTATAATTTTTTTTATCGCGTTTTTAAGCAAATGATGTAATGCCTAATTTATTTTTTTCAGTCGACAAGGATACCATGGATCAGTCTGCTTTGCCAGCACTTGTGGTAAGTTGTAATTCAGATATTTTATGCATTGCTTATTTGTGCTTTTTGCTTAGAACAAGACTTCTCATAAGCATTCGCCCTGGGTGACATGGGATAGATCTTGCACCAATGGAATATGCGAATTATATCAAAATGCTTTTAGATTTATTTGGTAGGGGATAGTATTACTGTGCATGTTACATTCATTATGTCAGGGGTGAGCAACCTTTAATACAGGTCGGCCAGATACAATTATCTGAGCAAATCATTGGGACGCATCTCTATTTAACATGGGCTTTCTAGTAGTTTCAGTCACAAAAGTTTTTAAGCCAGCTGTTAGGGCATTGAAACGTCATGGGCATCAGGTATAGGCTTTCCATCGCTAAACGAATTGGAATTACTCGCACGCACCAGATTAAACTAAATTAAAAACACGTTCCTCGGGCCGCACAATTCTACCTTGTGGGCCGCTGGTTGCACACCCCTGCATTATATAGCCATATTTTGCCTTTTAATAATATTTTTGTTTATATCTATTTACTTTTCAGTCTCATTATAGTAAATCCCTAGTGATTTGAAAGTATTGATTTTGCAAAGATGACCTCTAGTTATTTTGCTGGAGTATAATAATAAATTGCATACCGGCCCGGTCTATGATTGTGATTGCTTCTTTTTTTATACTCCTGTGAATTTTTTTGAAATACTCTGGTGAAAATTAATTCAAACAATGATTAGATACTAGCTAACAGATCTTTGTAATATTTTGATTCGTCCTGAAAACCGCAATTTATTGTAGTCCTGGATTATTGTCTGTTACAATTACACTTCAACCTATAAATACACAGGGTGTCCCCAAAAAAACGGAACCAAATGGACTGGCTTCAATTATTTTGGGTCACCCTGTGTTTTTATTCATGATTCTACAGAAGAGATTTTTTACTGAATATTGATTCTGTCTAGTTTACTGTCTTTCACAAACATTTTGTACTGAATTCTTATTTTTTTATATATTTTTTTTTATTGGATTTTTATAAAATAAAACAATATTGTAATAAACAATATTAACTGATAATAATATATGCACAATAGTAATTTATCATAATGTACAATATTGCAAGAACAATATGAATCAAAACCAATACAGGGATAAAAAGATGAAATCTAATTTTCCAGCTGAAACTTCTTCGACAAAATCTGACACGCCACCGAGTGTTCGGAAGAGAACAACCACTCCTAGTAAAACTAGCGGAATATCAAATCAACCTGTTTCGATGCAATCAAAGCCCAACTCTTCCACATCGAATGGAACTATATTAGAATGCAGATCGATAAAAAAAGACGCAAACTCAGAATCTCTGAGCTCGTCACAGTCACCGAAAGATAATAACGTAGTCGCTACAAAACCAAAAGTACGATCTGTGAGAGCCAGAAACGCACATAGGCTCATAAGGCACGAATCTGCACCGATACCTCAGCCTGGAGAATCAAAGTCATTACAGAAGTCGGGAATATCTGTTCGAAGAAGCAAAAGTGATGCAGGTGGGATATGCACAATGTTTGATCATTTATTCGTAATTCGATTGTTTGACATAAAGTGGTTACTATATGAAATACACTATAAAAATATAGTTCGAATATCTTACAAGCCTTATGCAGATATTTGTCGGTTGTATACTTGTATTTAGTCTTACTCAAGCCTAATCAATAAATAAATATCAAGGTCATATTTTCTTATTAATAGTAGCAAATCAATCAATATATTTCATAGAACTGGAAGCTGTGAATATTCGTTATGTAATCAGTCATTGAAACTGTCAATTAACCTTTCAGCAGGGTACTAAAACCTTCTAAGTAAGTAACTCAAAACTTATGTGACCTTGAAAGAAAATTCTATTTCTTTAACTGCTAGAGATAGGTAAATTTTTATTAGACTCTAGCTTGAGAAAAATTTAAATTTTCAAAAATCTTACAAAATCTGAAAAAAAAATTTGTGAATTCAAAGTAATAAAAAAATGTGATAACCTTTCAGCAGGCTGCTGAAGCTTTCAAAGCATGTAATTTAAAATTGTGTGAATTTATGTGAACCCTAATTAATTAGGAAATTTTTTTTCTTTGCTTGTAAGTGAAATCTTTAGACTGATGCTATCAGAGTTGTGTATCCTTATCCTGGGAAATTTGCAAATGGCTCTGGGCTTAAAACAATATTAACTTTTTAAACCCGATGAAAGCAAGTCGGAAACCCTCACTGGAAATGTGAAAATAAGCATTTTTCATAGCTTGAAGCACTTTTAGACCCTCAAGCTCGGCCGAACCCTCTAGCTGTTATTCCCTCTATTCCTGGCTCAGCCTCTAGCTGAGTTCCCTCTATTCCTGGCTACACCTCTACCCCAATTATCAATAATTTTCATTATGGCGTGTTATGCTGATACAGCAACAAAATTTCACTTTCAACTTGAAAAATGGCAAAAAAATTTGCAGAATAGCAAAATTTACCATTTTCTTTTTTAATTTTCATTTCTAGTAACAATACTAGTTTTAGTTTTGAAGTTACGAAATCCATAAGCATAATATTGATTCAATGTACGGTATAACCTGATTTGATCTTCAGCCTATTTCTATCCATTAATGGCTGTTTTAATTAATGAAATAGCAGAGATAAGCAGCTTATGTATGTGGTCATGCGATTTGAAAAATTAAAGACTCTTGTTAAGGATAATTTTATAAATGTGAGATATTACACTATCGATTAGACCGGATAATGAGTGGTGTGCTGATACGTAAAGTTTTGCAATAGCAAAACTAACCTGGTACACATACTACGTTCCGGTGTCCGCCATCTTGGTTCACATACTTCGGGAGAATCCCCAATATGGAGGTAACTACGGTAATTTTGTTTGCCTACTTTACATCAAGTTGTGTTAAAGGACTGAAACCTATGGACAGGCATTATATTCACTTGGCTAACACAGACAGTTCCCGAACTCTTAATAGAACTAAAACAAGAAAAATCGGAATAAAATTATGGCCTAACCTAGTACACACCCACGGGAGTTCAAATATATGGACTCTAAAAATGACGAGATTCTGGAGTAAAAGGTGTGTACAATTTAAGGAGTCTTCTCCTTGAAATTCAACTAAAATATTTGGCATCATATTACAGGACTTCAATAAAATAAGTTATAATCTTCTAATACTTTCTACAATCTTCAAGTAGGCTATTGAAAATTTGAAACTGGAGAAACCACAAGAATTTATAACAACGATCCATAGGTTTACTCATACATCATTGGAATTTTATTAAAATTAAGTTACCTAATATGGATATCCCTTGAAATAGCAATTCAGATATAGTTAGAAGATTTCAATGCAACAGCATATGTACCTTGAAGAAAAATTTGAGATGTAAGAGCATGTTTGCATAGTCAATCCTTAATTCATGGGTATTATGCTCTGTATGATTTCATCTGCTCTTGGCAGTTATACTTGTCTGGGTGCATGTCGCACATCAGTGTCTTGGGCCCATAAGGTCTTGAACACATATCCCGTCTTTGTTATACCGTTTAAGGCATAAACATACATACATATATATCTCAGTGATCGCCTGTAACCTTGCTCAATCTTGTTTGCTTCAGTATTCTGAGTGATTGCATAGGGCAGGGGTGGGCACACTGCGGCTCGCGAGCCGCATGCGGCTCGCCAGACTTTTTCTGTGACTCTTCTCGCTAACATAGATTATTATCCAAATTTTAACTAAGAGAAAAACTTTAATGTAAACTCTTTTAATTTATTAAAAAGCCGTATAGAAGTTTTCGTCAATGATTAGGATAAATTATGTTTTAGTATAAAAATCGCTGTAGCGTTGAATTTTGAATTTAAGTCAGTCAAGTCAGCAAATCTTTCGTCACAATGGTCAATGTTTATTGATGCGTCGGCGGTATTGCAGCTTGATTGCGGTTATTCAGTCTAAGTTACTGTGTGATATGTCCTCAACTAAAAACCGAAAGTACGAAGATGAAAACAGAGTTGTCAAGTCAGAATGGGAAGAACGTACGAATTTACCAGTCAGGAGAATAAACCTTTGTGCTTAATCTGTCATAAGCTACTAAGTCAGAATAAAGTCAGCAATTCAAACGGCACCATGAAACGAATCATGAAAACTTTTTACATGAAAACTTTTTACGAGACTACTCTCGTAAATCAACTATAAGGAAACACAAATTAAATGAGCTCAAATTGTGCCTATATTTGAGTATAGCTGCCTTGTTTATCTATTTATTGTTATTAGACTCTTGTGTGAATTTCTTCTCCGTTCATGGTATTTTGATAATATTGATAAATTCACAAATTTTGCGGCTCTTTTAAAGTTCTGATTGGAAGCATGCGGCTCATATACTAAAAAATTGTTCCCACCCCTGGCATATTGCCTTGCTTTGGGTGAATACGCACAAAAATATAACTCAAATTATTCTAATTTTACAGTTTGTTACAAGTCATACATGAAACAGACAAGACGAAAAATTGATTCGAATGTGCAAACGAAAGTACTTCATTTTGAGAACTGCTGTAAAGGAAAAGGCCAAGGTAATTATATATGTTATTGATTTATTGACGTCTGTACTAGTGTTATTGCATTTAGCTTCATTGCTCTACAGTTCTATGACATGTATATCATGGGGATGTACTAATAGAATATTTATTTCAGGGTTTCTCAAACTAGGATCTTGGCCCACAATTGCTTTTTTAATTTTTATTTAATCATGTGGGACCCAATCTTCAACCAGAATTTGCAATATATTATATTATGGGAACACTTTTTATGAAATATGGGAGCACCTTTTTCTTTCACACTTGTCAGCTTTTTCCAACAAACTTTGGTGTCAACTAACGCTTCGTTAAACATGTACTGATGTGTGTTTTTTATGTTCATATATTTGAGTATTGCTTTCTGTTTTCAAGTCAAAGAATTCTAAAATCTTTGTAGAGTAAAGGTCTTTTAAGTTTAAGGACAAGTTGTCTTATAAATTAATCATACCACACGTTACTTCATTATGTATTTTGGTACTCTCTTAGTATGTGTAACAGGTTAGGGTTAAGGCATAATTTTGTTCCGATTTTCCTTATTTTAGATCTATTACGAGTTCGGGGACTGTTTGTGTTGGCCGAGTGAATCTACCCCCCTGCCCATAGGCTTCCGTCCCTTTATACAACTTGATGTAAAGTAGGCAAACAAAATTAGTTACCTCCATGTTGGTACACATAATTCTGGAGCGTCTGTATTTCTCTCCCATGTAACATTTATGATGTGTACGCTTCACATGACTTGGCAAACTACCTAATCTCCCAAACTCATTAATTTTAATGATCTGTCTGTAATTTGATTGACGAGAAATAATTGGTGATTTCGACTCACAAGTTCAATCTGTTATGTAGATTATTAGTCGAATTGCTATACAAATATGCTATACAAAGAGCAATATATTAAAATCATGAGAAAGGATCAGATAATATATTTTTTTGGGCGCTCCAGAAGTGTATTTACCAATATGGAGGTAACTAATTTTGTTCGCCTACTTTACATCAAGTTGTGTAAAGGGACTGAAACCTATAGGCAGGGGGTATATTCACTCAGGCAACACAGACAGTACCTGAACTCGTAATAGAACTTAAAATGGGGAAAATCTGAATAAAATTATGGCCTAACCCTAACCTGGTAAATATGCGAGTACCTTTTTCGAATATGCAAACATAATAAAAGACTGGTACAAACACTATTTTCACATGTATGGGTTTTAAATTAAAAACTGAGTTGAAGATTTTACAAATTTTTGGTACATTTGGAATTAATAACTTTATTTTTGAAATTTCTGGAATTAATTTAAATATTGTAGCAAAACGAAGTTGTTTTCTGAAAATTTATTCTGTTCAAATACTGGTTTCAATAAAAGTAGACTAATAAAAGTAAAACAATTAATACTTTTATATGTTAACTTGTATATAAAAGCATTGATTTTTCAAAATTTTTTTTTTTGATTAGGAAAGCAAGGACTATTATATTTGAAAGATTTTCCTTTCATGTTTTGGTTATATTTTTTGGTCGGAGATTAATGTTTATTCTGAGTGTTTTTTTTCCTCAAATATTGAACTGATTACCACTGTGTAGTTGTGTACTATTTCTTAGATTACCAATTCAAAAGTTAAGGTATCAACCGCTTCAAGAACTGAATATCTTGAAATCAATTGATTTATTACTGTACGAAAGATATTTTTTACCCAACTGACTGAATTTATCAAAACATTCCAAGTTTTAGGAAAATAATATCTTTGTAAAAAATTTTAGCAACCAAACCTAAAAATGGAAATAAGGTATTCTCTACCTAAAATCAAAAGTAAAGCAAGTAGAGCTTTCAAAACAAGACCAAAAGAGGGTCCTAGCGCAGCGATTCCCAGAACTTTTCCTCGTGTGGCGCCAAATTATTCGGGAAAAAAGCTCTATGGTGCACTTAATACTGAAAATATTGCTTCCTTCAAATAAAACGGTATTATTGTACGTACCCTTGCGCTTTTTGAAGCACTATCAAGCGTTTTCAAGATCAGGCGGCACACTGGATGAAGCCAAGATTAGAACCAGAATCTTGTTTTAGTAATTCTCGTTGTGCTGATGACTTAGAAATCTAGTTAACTTCTGCTGACATGTTTATTCAAGGTGTTTTGAGGCCAATACAGTTACACAGATTCACTAACATGAGCAAGAATATATGCCAGTGTCTCAAAATAGTTTGTTAAATGCCTACCATAGATGAATTGAGGTTGGGAAGATGAGTTTACAATCGGTCCATACTTGATCTGTATAAAATGTTCAATCTAAATACGAACGATGTTACAAATTTGTTCTCAAATATTTGCCAATGTTTCAACAGAGCCGCCTTGTATAAGATATCAAACAATCTTTAAGCATTGGTAATTTATTAATAGCTGCCAATTTTTTATAATTAATTGGACACAGGGGGACGATTGTTTTGTTAAGTTCTTGTTGTTGCTATTGGGGGAAAAAAGCTTTTTCTTTAACAAATTGAACAATTAGCGGGCCATGGCCCACAGAAAGGGCCATGGGCCACAAAAAACATTTTCAGGGGGGCACAAATCGATTAAAAATAATTGCTGGACTTATTGATAAACTAGTCAAATTTGACTGTATTAGAAATAAATGATGATGCTGTTTTTTGTGACCAAATAATAATTTCCACTGTAATTATTCAAGTGGATTTATCTATCTTTGCGAAATAAATTTTGTGTTTCTCTTGCAGTTTTTCCCTTGCATTAGAAAGAGCGTTAATGAGCCATAGAATTTCTGTGCAACGGAAGCGGGTCACGAAAGAAAAAAGGTTAAGAACCACTGGACTAATAGATTTAAAATTTTCCATAATTAAATATAGTCAAAGCTGCTGAAAGGCTACTACTTTTTTTCAAATTTCCTTCTTCAAATTAGGCCCTAACCCTCGTATCGTAGGATTTACTTGTGGTATATTGTAAAGTGATGGCAATTGAATATTTTAATTTAGTAATTATAATATTGTGTTTGTATTAATTACCGGCAGCTGCAGATTAATTCGTACATAACAGCTCCACGTGAGCAGTGGATAAACCCAGTAGTGGGATTCATCCAGTTCGCACCGGTTCTATAGAACCGACTCACAGAATTTATGAGATCAGCGAACCGGTTAGCATTACTGAAAAAAACATAACTTTTTGTAACAGAACCGGCTGCAAAATATGACATTTGTGTGATGGAACAGACTGACAAAAAATTTGAATCCCACTTGAGGGGGTAACTCTTGGACTGTACTGATGAAACCCTGGGGTGGCACAGCCGCACATACACATACACAGCCGCACATACACCACTGTCTTAAATAATAATTACAAAGTTATGTCCTATCTAATATTACAAACCAAGTTAACCACACCCATATTCCATTCCTTTCTTTGTGTGTCAATGTCTAACTCTCCAAGTTTTTCTTATTAATGAAGCCACTGTAATTGTGGTTCTTCACCTATAATCATAAATCGACTATTCCTATACTTTCCTATACTTAATAATACTCAAAGGTTTGGACTATAGTTAGTGTAGGTTCGTGGCATATTGATATTACTCATTCATGTTTGTTAAGAACTCCCATGTCAAGTGTATCCATTCACACCTGTCCGGTTGTTTTGTCTACGTAAACTTGCTTTGTATAAAATATTACCATGGTATTATCTGGATGTCTGGAACTAATATTATAGACCTATTTATCGATGTATTATTTGACCTTTCTAGTCATGAATTTGATATTACTTTATCAGTGGGTTTTTTGGAATTCTCATAACTAATTTTTGCTATTCATTATTTCTCGACATATTCCTATTAAAGTCAGTATTATGATAAGTATCTCGGAATGGTTCAATAAATTATGTGTTTAATAACTATTAACTACCGTATTTTCTCGACTATACGCCTATCACGCGAATAAGCCGACTCCCTAATAACAGCCTCAAAATAGTGAACTTATAAAAATTTGCATATACGCCGTTTCTACAAATCGTAACACGGCGCACGCATCTATTACAGTCAATGCTGTTCAGTTCAAATTTAATATTCGAATATCGCGATTCGCTACCTTCTTGTATATGGCACACACATTCTAGCGCCGCTGTCCACATTTTGATTAAAACAATTTTCGATTATTATATTTTCTGTCCTATCGTAATGGAAGACAGCACTTAGCGACACAACTAAATTACTGCCAACATGAAAGGAATTAAATCAGCGCCGACTTGAAGTACCAAACGTATAACATGAGGACATTTTTGATTGAAACTATTTTACAATCATTATTTTATATTAACGTAGTCGAGATATCCTGAGCGGCAACCGCAATAAATTTGGTTATTTTTTGCAAGTCTTCTCAAACATGATTTGTGTGAGCTTCATATATGGGCTGATATATTTTATAATGTATGCCAAAGTGTCTGCCGATTATTTAATTGACTTTGTATACCGGCTGTTATTTGTCTTAAGCCTTTTAAAAACAAAAACGTGGCCGGTGCAAGGAAGCACTTCCTGCCCCATAACATAACGGCACTTCATAAAGAAATCGGCTATCACGAAAATGAAATAAAGTGATTGATTTATGACCCTTCCGTTTTGCTGATTCAGGAAAAACGGAAAACACAGCCTTTGCCTAACCCATGGACGTACAGCACAGTATTTATCACACCATATTCATATGTTATTTCAACCTTTCAGTTACCGTAAATGGTTGTTCAAAATAATGGGAATTACAGTTTTATTGTTAAGAATTATTATTATTATGTCATTACTTCAACAGCGTGAGCGATGTCATGCATGATGTGCCGGTAAATATTTCAATTCATCGGAGAGAGATAAGAGTGCTTATCAGCGCAACTAAAAAGGATAACATATCGTAAATGCGATTAAAATTCGGGCGTTAGTTGCTAAAGACGATTGCGCACAAATGATAAGCTGTTGCTCTTATGCAAAAGATACAATCAAATTTAATCAAATACAAGCGGTCACGTTT